AGTTTTTGTGAATAATCGCTTCAGTAATCTTTTTTGAAAAATACTTTTATTTGGTTAAATTACATTTTTCTGCGTTACAAAAATGTTGCAATAGTATGCGCTAATTGAAATCGTATGTGAGCACTATTTACTCAACATACTTATCTCTTTTTCGCCAAGCATACTGTAATTTAGCACATTAATTTGTTACTAAATTTTAGATTGAAAAGTGGGGGCCACGTTTTAATAATTTAGCCGATATCTACGGCAAACGAGGAAATTAACAATACAGAAGTTTGTATTCTCCAGCTGGTCTCATTTTTTTTTGTTTGCTTTTTTTCAAAAAATATTACTTACTTCGGCTGTGACGTTATTATTGATATTAGTGTATTTTGTTTTCTTTTCGTGTTTTTGTTAGTGTCTGTGTGTATTTTGTTATAAGAAAAGAGAGCTCAGGCAATACTTTAGTTGAACTTGAAGGCTTCCTTCGTTTTGCATTGAATCTCAGAATGAGCTAACTAACTTCTGAAAGTGCTATCTTACTTATCTGTATGCTTAGTACTAGTGAATAAATTTTATTTTCCTGAGAGCAATAATTTCTGCTACCTATTATTCGTATGCAAAAATTTGTTATATTATGGTATGTGATCAATTATCAATCTGTACCTATTGCTTTTTTACATTCTCTTTTTATCAGATTAATATTTAAATTTATAAGCTTTAAATTTGCATTTATACAAGCTTACATATGTTTTTAGATAGCAATTTTGGCTGATTGATACAATCATTTACTTTGTTGAGAGTAAAAAAGTGAATTATTGTATTCATTAATGCTCTTTTCTACCTGAATCTTGTCAAGAAGATAACATTTATTGTTGCATTAATTACATTCCTTTTGCATTTATTCTACTTTATAATTATTATTTGGATAATTATTTGTTGTACAAAAAGTTGAATATTTCATTGCTATATTCATTACAGTCACTCATTTGATATCTCTTCGATCTGTCAGAATTTTTTGTATTATTTACATTTTAATCAGTATTTGTTGATTTTGTGTTTTTTCTTTGCCTCACTTAAGTCCTTTTGAAATTTCCATTTTTTGCTAATTTGCGCTCATTACTTTCACATTTATGTTAGCCAATTTTTCATTTATTATCAATTTTGCCTATAATTCACAAACATTTTTAAGCAATGCAAGCAAAACTTAATACTTTTCATATCAAAACTTTAATTTACTCTTTTGAGATCAAATTAGATCAAGCCAAAATTGAAATCAAATTAAAATTGAAAAAGAGCATATTTCATGCAAGCATTGAGCTTTCTGCATTTCATTGATTATACGGTGCTTTTTCTACTTTATCTTATCAGTTGTGGATTAATTTCACTGTTTTATCACTAAATGTAATACCTATCGGTAACAAACACTGCTATGATCAGAATGCTACATTCATAACTATTCACTTTTATCATTACATTTTCATGTGTTTTTTTTATTTTTGGGCAGGTATCTACTATTGTGTACTGCAATTAAAGGTCATTTTTAATTTTTCAATGCATGTTTTGAAGTTGACCTTTTTGTTGACTTGACTTGACTTGACTTAGAAAAAATTATCATACGAACCGTAGTGTTATTATTGCGAGAAAAGATGAAAAAAGGATTTGAAGCAGTAAAGACCCCAAATGATCTCTACAAATAGTAATACTATGTCCTATCTGCCCAATACTTGCATTGGTGTTTTTTATGTTTCAACGAGGAGTGTTCAGAATATTCTCCTTCCGTTTCCGTTCACTGCTCTACTATTGAGTGATATTGTTATCACTTAATGGGATTGTTTGTTTTGTCATCGAAGAAAGAAAATGAATTTGCAAATTGATTTCGTGTTGAGCAAAAATAAATTTTTGCATTTTAAACTAGTAAACTTGCGTTTTGATCACATTAATTAATGTATGCGAGTTTGCATCAGATCTAACTTTCTACAAATGATCTCAGAAGTAACGCATTGCAAAGTCAAATTATTTATTGCTCGAAGTAACGAACTTGTGATGTATATTGAGGAAATAACGGATTTGTAGAACCTTTTAAGGAAGGATTATATGAGTGTACCGACGAAAAAAGTAATGGCCTGACTAAAGCATTAAAGTTCTTATTTGAGAATCTATTTTTAGACTCTAAACTTTCAATAATCATATGACTGATTTTCGTTAACCTTTAATTCAGCTCAACAAGTTTTGCTAGAGAAAGGTCAATTAAAGTTCAGGCATTGTTTTGTGTTGTACGTGGAATGCAAGCGAAGAAAGCTATGAATCTTGCAAGCAAGCTGTAATGGGCAATTGACTTCTTATGCAGCAAAAATTTATAATTGTATGGAAGGAAATTAAATGAGAATATTTTCGAGCAATAATTTGTAAGCCAAACGAGTTTTGTCAGGAATACTTTTGCATGTCTTTCTTACAGAGTTGTTTGTGTAATACCCAAAAATTTGCTGATTTGGCCTGTTTGTAGCTTTAACAGTAGAGATCGATGTATCAGTTTAAGTAAATAAAAAATAATAATAGTTTATTTGGTTCGATGGATGGATAGATGGATAGATAGATAGCTGGATATATGGATGGATG